ACGCTGTTTCCGAGGCAATCTCCTTCGATTCCGGTGAAAAGGTGCTAAGCTTTCGTCCGTCAGATGACGAAAATTATCAGAGCAAGGTATCATCGTCACAACAAATTTCAAGCTAACTTGTCAAGAAAATTTACCGGCAAATTCCTAAAAAGTGGTATATATGCTCTACATCTGGCCTATTTGATGCATTATAAAGTGATTTGGTTAGTTAAGATCATATGTCAACTTCGATACATGTGAGTGTGTCGTCTCTGTACTTGTATGTGCCTTAACTAACCAAATCCCTTTATACTTTATCAAAAGGCTAGATGTAGAGTATAGATACCACTTTTTAGGGTTTTGCCGATCACTTTTCTTGACTCGTTAGCTTGAATTTTATTGTGATGTGTTGCCTTTCTCTGATGATGTTCGTCATATGATGGACGAAAGCTTAGCACCTTTTTAGCGGAATCGAAGCAGATTGCCTCGGAAACAGCGTCAGCATGAATGTTTCAGTAGAGCCAATCGACGGCTGGTCAAGAGGAATCGGCCGTCGTCTTCTGGTGAAACCGACCTCCGAATCTCTTCACGCAACACTTTCACTCGAAATGGAAGTAGACTCGACAGGTTTTTTTTGTCATTCTGATTGGTAAAGGTGTTCACGCTTATATGTTGCACTTTGGCGTCCAGATTGATGAGCAAGCGCCTGGTTAGCATCATTTTTATCAATAATGACCCTTCAATAAAACCAACTCATCTAACGAGAAGGATACATATTTGCTGCATGTTGCATCGGTCATTGGGACATGAGACAGACGAAGCGGCTATTAAGCAGTAAGTATGATTATAGCAGAATACGGTCTCCATACTTGCCATACATGTTGTGGACACTTTGTCTCTGGCAGAGTGACCCATACTTTCAAGTGTGAATTGCATGTTAATTCAATGTTTTCCAAGGCAGCTCTAACTTCGTAGCAACAGCATCGGTGAGACGAGTCCAAGGAGCACCAAGGCCGGATTCTTCAGTGCTCTAACTGCCGCTGAATGATCAGGTTGGAAGTCTCTCCGTTAGTCTGAGTAAATTGTTAAAGCAACCTTAAACGAAATAGGCGGAATACATCTTATATTGAAATTACATATTGTATTGTCAAAGCCTACTTTTAGATGAAACTGAGAGTATATAAGCTTTGCATCGTTTCCTGATATTGCAAGGACTCGTTATCTATCTTAATATGAGCCAAATTTGTCGAATGTCTGCTCAATTTTGCTGCCGTAGAGGCGGTAAAGCTGACGATTTCAAACAATAATCTCTTCCCTCAAATAGAATGAAGATCAGGCAGGGCTTAGAAAAAAAATTATTCTAGTATATTTATATATATAAAATATATATAATCCCGCTAAAAAAGAATAAAATTAATTAGCTAATTTTACCATGGAATTATATACTATTATGAATTTATTAGGCAAAATCTATAATTTAACAAAAATATGCTTTTTTATCAAACTATAAAAAAACGGGTAGGAACTCTAAACAAGAAATAAACACTAAAATTATTCGTCAATATAACCGTCATATCATCAACCAAATTATTGTTAATTCGAAATTAAATCATTGTACAGCAAAGTGTTTTAAAAGCTTGATTTATTATCGGAACAACCATAATTAGATTTGGTAAATTTGATGACATTTTTGTGATCCAGTTGGGCAGTTTAGTCCAATTTCACCGAGGCACGATAGGAGTTGTCCGCAGTTTTTTGCACCCCTCAAAACGTATCGTTTGACGCTAACCCTGTTTGCTGCTACGTCTCTAGTTCTCGCCGGAGCCGTGGTCAGCTTTCGTCAAAATGAGAGATAAATCTTCCGATGTGTGGTGAACTCGTCTTGCTCTTCTGTTCGCTCAATTTGTGATGAAGCTAAAAGTGTGATTAGCAAAATTGCTATCGTCTGCAGGTGAGCAGGTACCAGACGCATTTCTCATCTTTCAGTCAATGCTTTTGCTCAACTTTCGCCGCCAGCCTCGACGTCACAGTTGGCCAGCTTCATTACTTATCTTAACTTTGTTGTTTTCTCTTTTCTTTGACTCAAATGCTCACATTATGCATCCTCACCTTAAGTTTCCTCAAAATTCCTATAAATCCCAGACATCATCCCCATCGATGTTGCTCTATTGAATAGCAGAAAAGGCCTTTTACAGCCATTTATTCTGAAATAATGACATGGAGGAATGTCTTTGACCTGAAAAGCATTGTTCTCTAATCTAAAAACCTTCGCGTTTCCACTTTATTATGAAACTGTATGTTCATCAGATCAACCACATCCCCAACAACGGTCTTCTCACCAACAAACTGGGCCTGCTTTTCAGTCTTCGCGCCTACGAGCGTACCTTTTGGCAATTCCGCAACCGGCCGCCTGGTCTACAGATGCGTGATTTCTTCCCAGAAACCTACGTTCTCGACGATGCCGCCGAGAGATCCGCCTTCTTCCACGCGGCTCTGATGGACGAGCAGCCCTCGAGTCGAGAGATGAGCTCATCGGTCTCCTCTTCGACCAACACACCGACGACTCAACAGTCCAAAACAGGTCAGGAGCATCATACAC